TGTGCCGCTGAGCTGAATCCCCAACCCGCTTGTCTGTAATTTCCTTTTAACTTGCCTATTCTATATTCATTTTCTGGAATGCCTTTAAATTCTAATTGATCATTGATAATTTTTTAGTTATCTTCACAAAAGAATCAAGTAAATCATAGATATTTTGTGATGTTATCATTGCCCATATTTTGGTTATTTAACCTTGTAGAATGAACTGACAAAACTGATGAACATGGTGGTAACAATCAGTTACTTGAATTTCTTCAAAATTTCCATAGTAAACATTACCTTATCCTTTTTTTTTTTTTTTTTTTGATGGTATGAGAATTGAAGCCCAGGCCTTCATACTGAGATACATTCTCAGTTTTATTTTATTTTTTATTTTGAGACAAGGTCTCAATAAGTTGCCAAGTTGCCCAGGCAAGGCTTGAACTTGTGATCCTCCTGGCTCAGAAAAACTGCTGAAAATGATTCATGTTACAGGTAAAAGCTTTTCTACATTCAGAAAGACCAAATTGTTCTTCTCTACATGTTGTTCTCTGTAGTTATGCTATAATCAAATATAGCTATTTAGTGAATAGAGAATTTATTAATGTTTCATTTTAAAATATTTCTTGTATAAATTCTGATACTCAATAAGTTCAGATTTATGATGCCAAAGAAATTTATAGCCACTGGACTTTTCACCTCTTACAAACTGTTTGCCGTTACAGAATGTGTAGCTAAAAATTCAAGGGCGTCCTATGTGACTCATATTATTAATCATATACTACTGATTATGGGATGAGAGCAGGTCTTTACACATACCTCACTTTTATAAGGCTTTTCCTCAATATATACTCTGTTATACAAAAGAATAGCTGTGGAAGCTGGGCATGGTGGTACACATCTGTAATACCAGCACTCTGGGAGCCTGAGGCAGAAGGATTATAATTCAAGCCCAGCATAGGAAAATTAGTGATTTACTGAGACCATAAGTCAAAAAACAACCCTAAATACCAGAAACAAAAAATAGCAGAGGGGTACATAACATTGTTTCTCATGTTTCCAATATGTATTGGGTAATGATGAGTAATAATTATTAAATACAGACAATATTCAAATACATAGAATTTCTCACCTCATGTGTGTATTCTCTGGTGCTTTTTCGCCTGTGAAAGACAAGTAAAGGCCTTCCCACACTCTTTACATTCATAGGGTTTCTCACCAGTGTGAATTCTTTGATGTTGAGTAAGATGTGCCCTCTGCCTAAAAGCCTTATTACATTCCTGACATACAAAGGGTTTTTCGCCGGTGTGAATTCTCTGGTGTTGAATAAGAGTCGAACAATCAATAAAGGACTTTTTACATTCTTTACATTCATATGGTTTCTCACCTGTGTGAATTCTCTGATGTCTACTAAAGTAGGAAACACAAGAAAAGGCCTTTCCACATTCCTTACATTTATATGGTTTCTCACCAGTATGAATTCTTTCATGTTGAATAAGATGTGCTCTCTGTCTAAAAGCCTTCCCACATTCCTGACATTCATAAGGTTTCTCATTAGTATGAGTTCTCTGGTGTTGAACAAAGGTTGAATAACAGAGAAAAGCCTTCTCACAATCTTTACATTCATAGGGTTTTTCACCAGTGTGAATTTTCTGATGTTTATTCAGGTTTGAAAGCCAAGTGAAAGACTTTCCACATTCCTTACATTCATAGGGTTTCACACCAGTATGAATTCTCTGATGCTGATTAAGAGTTGAGCAATTATTAAAGACCTTCCCACATACTTGACACTCATAGGGTTTCTCACCTCTGTGAATTCTCTGATGTCTATTACAATCAGAAAAACAAGTAAAGGTCTTCCCACAGTCATAACACTCATATGGTTTCTCACCAGTGTGAGTTCTCTGATGTCTAGTTAGATGTGCACTTTGCCTAAATGTCTTTTTACATACCTGACATTCATAGGGCTTCTCATTAGTATGTGTTCTTTGATGCTGAAAAAATGTTGAACCAGATATAAATGCTTTTCCACACTGGTCACACTGATACGGTTTCTCACCAGTGTGAATTCTTTGGTGTCGGATAAGAGTTGAGCAATTATTAAAGGCTTTCCCACATTCTTTACATTCGTAGGGTTTCTCACCAGTGTGAACTCGTTGGTGTCTGTTAAAGTCAGAAACACAAGTGAAGCCCTTCCCACATATAGCACATTCATATGGTTTCTCACCACTATGAATTTTTTGATGTCTACTTAGATGCGCACTTTGCCTGAAAGTCTTTTTACATTCCTGACACTCATAGGGTTTCTCATTTGTATGGGTTCTCTGATGTTGAGTAAGAGTTGAACAATTATTAAATGCCTTGCCACATTCCTTACATTCAAAGGGCCTTTCACCCGTGTGAATTCTTTGATGTTGAGTAAGAGTTGAACGACTGTTAAATGCTTTCCCACATTCTGCACATTCATAAGGTTTCTCACCAGTGTGAATTTTCTGATGTCTATTAAAGTCAGAAAGAGAAGCAAAGGCCTTCCAGCACTGTGTGCATTTATAGGGTTTCTGGTCAGTATGAATTCTTTGATGTCGAGTAAGGTGTGCACTCCGTCTAAAACTCTTGCCACATTCCAGACATTCAAAGGGTTTCACATTAGAGTGAGTTCTCCTGTGTTGAATGAGTGTTGAACAGCAGATAAAAGCCTTCCCACATTCCTTGCATTCATATGGTTTCTCACCAGTGTGAATTCGATTATGTTGAGTAAGGAGGGCACGCTTTCTAAAGCTCTTTCCACATATCTGGCATTCGTAGGGTTTGTTGTAATTTATTTGATATTGAGTAAGTTGAAAATCATATGCAAATTCTCTGCCACATTCCTTAAATTCATCACATTTCTTTCCAGGAAGACTTTGCTGATGTTCCATCTGATTTGTGTAAAATATAAAAGCCTTCTCACACATTTCATCAAGTTTGTCGCTAGTATGAATTCCTATCTGTTGAGTAAAGTTTTCATAATTTTTCTGTTCATAGTGTTCATTTCCAGTCTGAATTATTTCATTTGGAACCAGTGATGTAGGCTGAATTATTTCACTTGGAACCAGTGATGTAGGCTGAATTATTTCATTTGGAACAAGTGCTGGAGGCTGAATGAATTCAATTGACAGTTTTTCAAATGGCACTGTCATATACTGGAAAAATTCCTCTTTAGATTCCTCTTCTTTTTCAAAATATCTGCTACATTTCAAATCAGTTCCAAAATAAGACTCCCCCTCAAGGCAAGAACTTGTGGTTTTGTTCATTATTTCCCATTTTAATGATCCCATTTCAAAAATACCATTCTTTAGAGCTGACTCCTTAGTTTCATACCAAGACAGCAAATCTGAAAGAAAATAAATATATTTTCCTCTTTTAGGATAAATAGAACATCTACATTAGAAACAAATAGAAAAATAATACTCAAGTGAATTGCTTAAGTAAATTTCAAATACTGTCATTTACTTTGGGAAAAATAGAATGGCTATATTAATATCAAACAGACTTCAAAGTAAACTACATTACCAAAAATAATTTTATCATTGGGCATGATGGTGCACGCCTGTAATCCCAGCACTCAGGAGGCTGAGGCAGGAGGATCATTGCGAGTTCAAGACCAGCCTGGGCTACAAAGTATGCTCAAGGCCAGCCTGAACTGCATAGCAAAACCTGGTCTCAAAAGAGGCATAAATAATAATAATAATAATAATTATTATTATTATTATTATTTTATCACAAGGATAAAAGAATCAATGTAACTGGAAGACTTAGAAATCAGAAATGTTTATGCATGTAATAAAAAATACATGCAGCAATAGTATAACAGAAATAAAGCAAGAAATAGACAATTCTACAATCATAGTTGGAGACTTTATAACTATCTCTCAATAACTAATAAAACAACCAGACCTTCCCTGCATTAAAAAAAAATCAGTAAAAAGACAGAGAAAATAAGAAATATTGTCCACTACCTATAACTAGTTACTACTTTTAAAACACAGCATCAAAAACTGCAGCATGTACATTCTGTTCAAATGTAAATACACATTTAAAATAAGCCACATGCTGGGCCAGTAAACAAACTTAATATAAACTCTTAATATAATAAAAAGTATCAAAATCATGCCAGATACTTCCTTTAATCACAATGAAACCAAATTTGAAATCATTAAAGAAAACTAGAAAAATCTCCCCATATTTGAAAATGAACTAAACCTTCAGGAAATTTGAAAATATTTAGAAATGAACAATAATAAAAGTACAGTATATAGAAATATAAGCAATGTAGGTAAAGTACTTGTTACAGGGAAATTTATACTTTGAAATGCTTGTTGGGAAAAAAAAGACCTAAGGTTCTACTAAACAACTGTCAAAAAAAGAGCAAAATAAACTCACAGTTGAAGCAAAGAAATGATGAAAAAATCAATAAATTAGAAAATTGACAAATAACAATTAACAGAAACAAAGACAATTTCATGAAAAGAACAGCAAATATGATAAACTTTCTAGCCAACCTGACCACACACACATACACACACAAAGAATATCAGGAATAAAGAGGATTTCTAATTTCAAATCCTACATAATTAATAAAAATAAATAAAGAATTATCACTAAATATTTAAATAAGAAAATACTATGAAGCCAGGTATGGTGACACATGCCTATAATTCCAGCATTCTAGAGGCTAAGACAGGAGGATCTCCACAAATTCAAGGCTAGCCTGGGCTACATGGTGAGCTCAAGACCACCCTAAGCTACACAGTGAGACCCTGTCTGCAGAAAGAAAGACAAGAAGAGAAAAGAAAAGAGAAGGAAAAAAAAAGAGACAGAGAAAATAGTATGACTTATTTCACTACCATATGTATAATTATATATATCATAAATTAGATTTAAAAGGTCACATCTCTTAAAAGATAAAAACTATCAAAGATCACTCAAGAAGAAATAGTCACAGGAGTAGCTAATATCTATCCCAGAAATTGAATTTATTAAAAAAAAGCTGTCCTAAAGATAAAAGTGGCTTAAGTGGCTTTATTGGTAAATTCTACCCAATAAGGAAAAATTATCTTTTGAATATAGAAATGGCTCCCAAGTCACTGCAGTATGCCAATATAACACCACTATTAAAAGTAGAAAAAAAAAAAACTATAGATTTTCCTCTTAAATATTCATGTAAAAATCCTTCTACATATGAAGTAATAGAATCCAGTAATGTATACAAAAAATACACTATATGACCCAGTGGAATTTACTCCATGAATACAGGTTAACATCTGAAAATCAATCACTACAATTCAACATATTAACATTTTAAAAGAAAAATTATATAATCACTTGGATAAAGGCAAAATATACTCTTAACAAAATTCAACATGGTCATAAAAATTCTTAACAACCTAAAAATATAGTGGGACTTTGTTTTTCAAGTAAGTGACATCAGTTAAAAATTTGTAAGAAACACCATATCCAATTAAATACTGCCAGACATGGTGACTCATGCCTGTAATCTCATCACTCTGGGAGACTGGCATTACATATTCAAGCACAGCCTGAGCAACTTAATGACTCAGCAAAACCTGGCTCAAAATTCAGATAGATGTAGGGATACCAATCAGTGCAAAGACCCTGGGTTCAATCCTCAGTACAACAAAATGATAGTAGTAATGATAATAAAATATTAAAAGCTTTCTACCTTATGTGAGAAGCAGTGAGAGTGATCAACATATTATCTGAACTATGATGATGACCTCAGAAGCATACATTTACATCAAAATTGTCAAATGGTCACTTTAATATATTACCTTAATTAAATGTTAACTGAACTTCAAAATATCTGCTAAAAAACAATTCTTCAGCAGGCTTGGTCCCACATGCCTGTAACCCTAGTACTTAGGAGGCTGAGGCAAGAGGACTCCAAGTTCAAAGTCAACCTATTTCACATAGCAAATTCAAAGCTAGTCTGGACTACATAGTGGAGATGCTGTCTCAGAGAAAAAAAATTGTTTGTCATAAAAAATACTGATATTCTCCCTATTTTTCAAATTGTTTCTTCTAAGCCTTTGGGCTTTTTAGCACAGCTTTCCATACATTATTTTAAAAGAAAGACACCAGGAATCTAACTAGTTTGTACTTCCCTGAAATACATTCTGATTGCTCCTTACACCTTTACTCACCTGGATACCATCCTGCTTTTCCAGCCATCCAAGGTTCTTTCCCTTGTTCCAATAGGGAAATTATTGATGGCTTAGAAATGGTAAGTCCTGCTCAAAGAAATAAGATTAAAAATAAATACAGAATTGAAAAAAATCTTTTAATTTAGAATTAATTTAACCTAAAACAAATTAAGGAGCCTCAGAAAGAAGATGAAAAGAAAAAAATCAACATTAAACAATCCTGTTACATGCAGAAATTATAGATAAAAACTAAAGTAGGGAGAATATCATAAGAAAGAATATATTTATAAAATATCAAAGTACAACAAACTACTAATTACAAAAGTAAAAGTAGTGGCTTTTCAATGCAGAACTTAGATCACTTTGGCCAACTGATCAAAGTTAGCATTACCAGTGATAAGAAATATAGAATTCTTTATCTCTTGATATAGGGACCGAAAAAAGCATACCATCATTTCTGTGATAATCTTGCCCAAAACATATAACCTTAACCTAATCATTAAAATGCCTTTAAAAGCCAGGAAATTCTATGTAACAACAAGTCAGCACAATTCAAAGTGTCAAGGTCAGGAATACCAAAGTAAATTTCCAAGATTAAAGGCCTACAGTAACATGACAGCTAATTTCAATGTGCAATGCTGGATCAGTACAAGTACACTACAAAGGTAATGACTGACATCTAAAATAAAGTATATAAATCCATAAAATTTGATCACTGTTCATTTTTTGGTTTAGATAACTATACTATGCTTATGTACATTGTTAATATTATGAAAACCTGGCTGTGTACTGTTTAGTTTTAATACTTAATATCATTTCAAAATAAGTTTTTTTAAAAATGGAATTCAGAAGGCTAGGCATGGTGGTGCAAGCCTGTCATCCCAGCACTTGGGAGGCTGAGGTAGAAGGATTGCCATGAGTTTGAGGCCAACCTGGGCTACATAATGAGTTCATGGATGGCTGGAACTACATAGTGAGACCTTGTCTCAAAAACAACAACGAAAAAAAAAGAACCCAAATGGGATTCAGATAAACTTTTAGATAAGAGACTAAGAAAGAAATGGTAATATAGCCTTATTAATCTAGCATAAGTAGCACAAGAAACAATTAACCCCTCTCCCCTAAGAAAAAATGAGAAGGGAAAGAGTGATTTCTATAATAATAAAAAATTATTACAGTAAAAGACACTGCTGTTAATCCTCCTCAAAATACACATATGGCTCTATCTATAGTTATAGTGGAAAGAAAACTAAGAAGGTTCAAGACATAATCAATGGTTCTTTCTATGAAATTCCTTTAATATTAAATATAAAACTTCTTAAAAAATACAAAACTTCTGAATTATATCTTTCAAACACAAAAATACCAGATTAAGAGGTTTCTTAAATTTTAGATGAATTATCATTTCCTATTTCTTACAGGTTGTTTTGTATGTCCCTCTGTTACTCAATGAGGGTCCCAGAGGTCTTCATTCCAGGTCTTGGTGTCCTGAACAAAGAATTAAACAAGACACAGAAAAGACTGCAAGAGTGTAGACTTACTGAAGGAGGAAAGAAGTACACTCTACCAAGCAAGGGTGGGATGGTGAAGAAGGCTTACAACAGCCTAAGAATAGAGGCAAAGGAGCCTTTAGTATCCAAAATACCTGGATTGGCCCCCACCTCATATAAATACAGCATTGGAACAATTGTCCTATGGGAAAACTCACTTGGCTTTCTCACTATATATAAACGAAAGATTGGGAACAGTGACTCTTGATTGGTTATACCATATGTAAATGAAGGGTTAGGAATAGCATCTTGTAATTGGTCCCATGAATAGCATGGAATTCAAATGAAGGATTAGGAATAGTGTCTTATGATTGGTCCCGTGAACTGCACTCAGGAGGAGCCATAAGCCTGGAATCATCTTGGACCTCATGTTCTGCTCATGCCTTCTCTTTTTAGACAATATCTCGCTCATCTTGTTAGTTATGGGTTTTTCAGACACATTCAGCCTATTTGGTTGCCCAATTTGCCCTAGCCCTGATCTCACCTCCACTATAATCTAACTCCTTAACAACTGAGAAGGAAAGTCAGTTACACAAAGTATGGGGGCCACTGTGAAGGTGAATACAGAGAGAGCAAATAAGGTGTCTGACAGTGGCATGCTATTCCAACAAAACAAGCTCAAACTAACCTTTTGGAACAAAGAAAAGATATTTGCCTAGACATAAGACCTAAAAATACAATGAATGTTTAAATTTTTAAAAAAATTATTACAGTAAAAGACACTGCTATTAATCCCCCTCAAAATATTCCCCCCCTACATCAAATACAGGCAAGAATTCCCAATAGAGACAGCATTTTTTGAATTATAGAGAACAGATGAACTTACCCAGTGATATTAAGGTGTTGTAGTTTTCCAACATCACATCTTTGTATAAGTTTCTCTGAGAAGGGTCTAACCATTCCCACTCTTCCTTAGAGAAGTCTATAGCCACATCCTCAAACATCACCAATCCCTGAAAGGAAAATCCCATGTAACATACATATTAGTAAAGAAAATATATTTCACATGAATGATAAGAATATTTTAAAAGGCTTTCCTGGAAGGCATTGTATTCTATAGTAAGCAACAGGGTAGAACTAGAACCTTACAACACAACAGGGAAAAATTAAAAATTACTAAACACATATTGTTGAATAATCCTGTGTTGTGGAGTAGATAAAACCTGTAACCTTGGGGAACTTCCATTAATCAAACTCACTGGGAAGCAATGTAAAACAAACAATCTAAATAAGAAAGGAACAGTTCTATTATTGTGCTGAACAGGTGGTCTCCACACAGTAAAGGGCTAACTCAGCAGGCCTGGATCTTTAAGCTCACACCCTGAACATTCCACAGAAAGAAATGGTTTTCCACCAGCTTTTGGGAAATAATCTGAGGCCTTGAATATCTGGCCTAATGAGTATTTTTGTATGTGTTAGACCTTAGGGTGTATCACCATGACCTCTAAGGAGCTGGAGATGGAGCAGATAAGGTCAGCAGTAGGCACTACATGTACCCCTAATAAGAACTCTGGACATAGCCAGGTATGGTGTAGCACATGCCTGCAATTCCAGCACTCTGGGAGGCTGAGTCAGGAGAGCTGCCAAATTTGAGCCCACTTTAGGCAACTTAAGAGGACCTTGTCTCAAAATTAAAAAATAAAAAATGGGCTGAGGATGTAGCTTAGTCTGAAGGTCCTGTGTTTAATCTCGATCAGATCAGAGGCTGTATAGATAGATGCCGACAGGAATAGAAATTTACCCTGGGCAGGGTTTTTGCTTACTTAGAGACCGATGTAAATGGTCAAAATACCACACAACGACTTAAATAGAAGAAAATGTACCAATTCTGATCACTGTGCTATACTTCTTCAGACCAAAAAGGACAACTTTATAAAATGACAGTGTCCAACAATGTGCAAAGAGAGCCCACATCAAATGGACTTACTGAAGCCAAGAAATAGAGGAAGTTAGGCAGATAGAGCCCAGGTCCTGAATAGTTAAACTGAAGTAAACTAAGTCAGGGCTTAAATTAGTTAACATATCAAAAGGCCAGAATAATTAATTTAAGCAAAATGATTACCAGGGTATAATGGAAGTGCAAGGGACAAAGAACAGCTCCCTACACAATTGGGAAAAGCCCTGCATAAAGTGAAATGCAAACAAAGCAGCTTGTTTTCAGGCCTACCTGCAACCAGGAGCATTCTTGCTTTCTGTCACATTTACCTATACAAAAAAACTGTATAAAAAGCCTACAGTTATGGAACCCCTGCCCAACTAATGGAGAGTTTTCCTTTTGTTCTATTAAACAAACACTTGATTATTCCCCACTGCTTGCTGTGTGCTGTTTTGTGGGCTTCAAACTTTGTTACCCCAAAACAGGGACCCAGATCATAGCACAGGAGGGAGCTGGTTACATTACCATACTGATTATCATCCTCAAAGTAGTGGTTTAATGGAGAATTGGTATAGAAGAGTGATATATCTGCTGACGGAAGGGCAGCCTTATGTGCCTTCATGAATGTGTGCTCACATTGAGGAAAGCCAAGACAGAGTCCTTGCTAGATAGATTCCTTCGCTTCCCTTGAGGACAGGAGAAGAGGCTCTGGGGAAGAATGCTCATACAGATGGACAAATCTTCGCCACATCACCTCAATTTCTCTCCTTTCCCACCTGACACAGTGGTCCTGGAACCAGAAGTACAACTCCAAATGACAGAGGAACAGATGATCCTGAAATAAGAAACTCTAACTTATCTTTAAACCTTATGCCAAAATTCTCAAGGTCTTGAGGGGATGGGTTGTCTGTGCAGACCATCTGACAAAATGACAGTGAATGCAAGTATACTGCCTAGTGGTTGAGATAGCCCCTACTTCCATACATAAGGAACCTTTCCTTGTATAAATGAGAATGGAATGAAGGGTCAGTGGCAATTTTGGTGAATCTAATTTCTAAAGGTGGAAAAGTATGGGTAAAAACCAATGTCAAACAGAAAGAAGGAGGAACAGTAGCTGATAGTAAAGGAATAAATAAAGATGTGGTTATCCATGAGGGAAATCCAGTGTTACACTGGTGCCTTGAGAGAGGCTCATAGCAAGAGAATGAAATTGTCTCTTAGCACAATTACCCAGAATCCCAAAAGGATGAAGTCATGTGTTTGCTGAGACCATCCCTAATTTTGGAAGCTGGCAGAGTCAAATGAAAGCTGAAAAACCTGTGTGGCATCATTCTGGGATACATTCTTGTTTTACAAAATGATACACAGGACCAACTAAAAATAACAGAGTTGAACTCTAGTGACATGTCAGGATCTTTGGACTCTTTATTTTTCAGGTTAAAATCTACTACTAAGCATATTATTTGGGAAGGAATGTGAGGGAATTACTGTCTAATAGACAATCAGAGTATGTGATATACACCAATAGACTGATTTACTTACTAACTACAAACCTAGATGACCAGATGCACAAAAAGATCTCTGGTTATAATGGACCAAAAAAAACTATAGCAAACCCAACATGCCACAGTATGCTATGCACAAGTACATTTTTAAAAATTTTATACATGAAAGGCAATTAAACAGAACAGGAAAATAAGTTTCTGATTGAAATAAAGTAGTGGATATCCCATAATAGACTCCAGTTCCTGTAAGAGGAAATAATCATATACCCCTTCGATAGTTAAAAAAAAAAAAAAAAAAAAAACTTGTCGAAGGATTTGTAGTCAATAAATGAATTAAGTGATTTGCAGATTAAAAACTCCTATATGACTTGAGTATCTCTTTTTCTTATTTTCAAATATCTACCACAATTTTATATTTTCATTTTTCCTGATTCATAGAAAACTGAATACACAAAATAATCACAATAGCTCATATAAATTGAGTGTACTTTATGTACCAACATTTTCAAAGGGCCTTACATGTATTGCTTTGGTCATTATAACAAACCTACAGGTGAATGCCATTAATCCTTCTGTTTTACAGAAAAGGAAACAGAGAATTTAGGTAAACTTCTCAAGTACACACAGACATTGAGAGCCCCACATAGCCTACAAGATGCTTGAATCAAAAAAAGGAAGGCATACTACCTTTTGTAATCCAAGCAGATTTGTGAAATAAAACAAAATCATGCTGGTAAATCTCAGATGGGATTTGCTTACTGTTATGGTTTGATCTGAAATGTTCCTCAAAAGCCTCATGTGTTTGGAAAGTGACTGGATAATGAGGACACTATAACTGACTTTGGTTTTAGGAGGTGGGTTCTGGTAGGAGGCAGTCACTAAGAATGTGACCTGGAAGGGTATACATCCCTCCGTAGATCTTCCCTTCTCTTTCTGCTTCCTGGCCACCATCATTTAAGCACGTTTCCTCCCTATACCATGCCATTTCTGCCTTGAAGACAGCCTATGGCCACCAATTGTAACCATGAGTCAAAATAAACTTCTCTTCCTTTAAGCCACAGGTGTCCAGTATTTTGTCCCAACAATGAGGAAAGTGAGTAAGACAGATTCTGGTACCAAAGTGGGGCTACAGCCACAATTAATACTTGATCATGTGGTTCAAAAGCCTTTGGAACCATTTGTGGGAAGAGTTTGGAAAACTTTGGAGAGTCTAGATAAAGAAGCTCTAGAATGCTGTAAGCCAAACTGAAAAAAAAAATCTGCTTAGAACTCAGAAGACCAGAATGCTAATAGAAATACTGACAGTAATGACCAGGATCAGGAGGTTTCAGTTGGGAAGAAGGACTCCATTGGGATATGCACTCAAGCCCATGTGGTATGCTCTGGCAGAATTTGTCTACATTATGTTCATGTCCTGAGACTTTGCCAGAGACTAAGTTTAATCACTTACCAGTCCAATTATTTAAATACAGGATGACCAAAAATTGCATATTTTTCATTAATTTGTATAATATAACAGGAAATATAAAAATGACAAGTTTATCAAATTTATTCAATACAAGAATTGACTGGTCAAAATTATACCTGCCCTAGAGACACTCAAGATAGTATCACTTGGGGTAAACAGTTAAGTGTTTAAACATGGCAGACTAATTAATCGGGCAGAGAAAATTTCAAGGTAGCTCAGCGTTCAGGTTATAGCATGTGTATACTAGTTACTACTTTCAGTAAGATCCATAGTGAGAATCAGAAACAAAAACCAGAGCTAAATGAGGTGAAACCTGGCTAGAAAGGAAGAACCTGAAAACTTGGTGCCCTCGACAGGTTGGATGCTAAGAAGATTAGCATTAAAAGCCAAGTACAGTAATACCTTGGTTCATGAATGCTTCTGTTTGAGAACAATTCAGTTTGCAAACAGAAGTGTTTGGCAAAAATTTGCTTCTGTTTGCAAACTCCACATTGAGTGACAAACACCAGCATGACCATCTTCCCTGCACGAACATGAACATGGCCATTTTTCCCAGAATCGTGGAATGAACTGTTTACGAACTAAGGTACCATTGTACTTTCTGGCTGAGGACATCTCAGGAATCAGCAAAACCCTAAATCTGTCTTAGTTACCTCCTCTGTCACTGAGATAGTTACTATTATAAAGTGGAAAGCACATTTCAGAAAAACAAATCAGAAAGTAGTTAATAGAAGTTAAGAAATTTCACCTCACCTTGAACATGGTTTTTTGATCCACAACAGCCATGCTTCCCTGCTCCTCAAGTTGCTCCTGAAAAAATACAGAATTGGAGAAAAAAAAATAGAATTAAAAGACATTAGTTCTATCTCAACATTAACTAGACCTGCTATCCATGCCCTCTGCTACTGTATACAAAAAAGACAAGAGACCTACATTTTCCAGGGTAATTTCTCCACAGAGCCCCCAAAAGACCCACCACAAGGGAATTCCTATTCCTTGTGACTCTTCCTCAGGTGTCTCGCCTTCACATGGAGTCTCCTTCAGCTCTAAAATTCTACCCAAGTGGTAAAGCAACTGCCTTGCATAGCCAAAGCCTTGGGTTCTATCCTCAACACCACAAAATACAAAATACAAAATAAAATTCTAGCCTAAGGCCAGAATGTGGTTCATGGTTCATCACTATTACCTGTTACTTTCACCTTGTAGAACTTCCCCTACCTTATATGCCATCCCATATTAATCTATTCCCTAACTGTAACCTCATCCCTTAAAACCATACTTCATTCAACACCCTCTGTTCCTACAAAGACAGTAATTTTGCCATTCCTAGTCTATAAAGAACTCTACGTATCACCCCAAAAGAGTTCTAGTATATCCCACACCAAGTTTACCCTATTATTGTTATGATGAAATATTTATCACAAATCAATTAATGAATCAATATTGATACATTTTTATTAAGTCTATATTTTTAGATTTCCTTATGAGTTTTTGTATGGGAGGGTACTAGGTATTAAACTGAGGGCCTTCACTCTGAACTACACTCTTTTATTTTGATATAGTGTCTCACTAAGTCACTACATTGCTCAGACAGAACCTCAACTTGTGATCTTCCTGTCTCAGCATCGCAAGTGCTGCGATTACAGGTGTGTACCACCACACTTAGCTTAATTTCCTTAGATTTTTAACCTAGTATCCTTTTTCTGTTTCAGGACATCACCAAGACAACATATTACATTTAGCTGTCAATTGTCTCCTAGGCTCCCCTATACTCTTTCCTTAGTCTTTTGTTTTTTGTTTCTTTTTCGGTACCGGGAATCGAACTCACAACTTTGCACTTGCCAGGCAGGCGCTGTGCCGCTGAGCTAAATCCCCAGCCCCTCTTTCCCTAGTCTTGATTAGCTAGTTGAAGCAGTATTTTCAGCTTTCCACACTGTGAATTTACCTATTTCCCTGTACTCATTGGAAGAAGTCACTATGTATACCTCAAACTCAGTTAAGAACTTATGCCCTATTGCTTTGAGCATAACTTATGCTTTGTGTCTAGATCTGCTCCTGTAGGAGACCGTGACTGACCTCCATTGTATATTAGTAGCCGTCTTACGCGCCTTTCCCTTTAAGTCAGGACTGCCTACCGTTGCCTAGCTACTCCCGCCTCAAGAACTAGGACTGCCCACCGTTACCTAGTTACTCCCGCCTTTGTCGGGTTATTTGGTTATTCCCGCCTTAGAACTTCGGGGTTTCTCCGTGCCATATATAAGCACGGCACTTCCCACTAATAAATGAGACTTGATCAGAGCACTGTCTTGTCTCCATTCTTCATGTCTCTTGTCCCTTTATAATCCCCACTCCCCCTCTAGGGTTCACATTGACTGTACCCGTGGGCTGGGACAACTGGCGCCCAATGTGACGACTCCAGTACGGGGGTTCCAGTGACGGACGCTGTTCAAGAGGCCGGCAAAATAAAAGTGAAAGAA